TTCCTAGGGCTAAGAGTGACTGGCCCAAGGTCCCCTATTGGTTTTGTGAGTAAGCAGTACTATAACTTAAAGGTAAAGTTAAAGGTTCCCCTCGCACATACATGCTAGACATTTCTGGCTTTAGGGGGCAGTGCTCATCTCCGTTACAAAGCCGAAGAACCAGCGCTGTCCGAAGATGTCTACATGGTCATGTGACTGGCATGACTAAATGCCAAAAGGGCACGGAATGCTCTTATCTTCCCACCAAAGTGATCCCTATTTTTCTACTTGAATTTTTACATGCTTTCAAACTGCTAGATTGGCAGAAGCTCACTCTGTTACATGGTGCTAGGGATTCGAACCGCCAAACTGCCAACCTTTCTGATCGACTAACTCAGCGTCTTAGCCACTGAGCCACCGTGTCCCCCTATATACTATAACTTACTGTCTCCCATTTTCTAGTTTGATGCTTTAATCACTATATCAAACTGATCTCTTGTTATCTCTAGCCTCCTGATACCAGTAGTTGTTGTCTGTATTTTGTGGCCAACTTGGGATGATTGGCCTAAATATTTTAAAATAAAGAATTAAACAAATATTTTCTTTTAAATGGACAAAGCTATCCAACAACATTTTGCTGCCCTTGGTTTTGAGCACCAAGGTGAACTAAAGGATGGATGGGCATAGAACTGAAATACGAAACTGTGAATGTAGTGTATCAGGGATTTTTTTTTAGGAATGAAGTTTGTCAGAGGTTATCTGCTATCTGTCATCAGTTTATGAGAGTTAGAGAGTGTTCCTGTACATATTTTCGGCATTTGCTGGGTGGATGGATAGGAGGATTACACCATTATCTCTTCTACTTTGTCCCATAGGCTTACTCCTTTGTAATTGTGTTTAGATTGCAATCACTCAGAATGAAAAAAAGAAGCAAGTATGAACGATGGCTAATAACTATTATGAATCACATGTTAAAAAATAATGTTATACTCACCACTTGTAAAATATTTTAGTTATTTTAAAAGGATAAAATAATATCACAGTCAGCATTCAACTAGCTTTGAATCCCAACAGTCAATTTTGTCTTTTCCAAAATAAAATGAGTTCATATTGACATCTAGTAAGGAAAAAGATAAATAAATACCCATTTGCAGGTCATCCAAGTGACTGTCAAGGAGTCAGATTCAACTTGGAAAATTCCTGTCTTCTCCAGACACAATAAAAACAGGAAATATTTACCAAATTTCCAGGTGTCAGGAAATACTTTCAAAACTTTGCAGTGATCAAAACAGCTATTTAAAGAGATACGGTGCTATAGACAGGTGTTAATTATGATTCCTAACTTTTAAAATATATGCTTTGGTACCCATGGGATAACTTAATCACTGTTCTTTAGCACCCTATAAAAGGGCTATGCAGGCTGACTTTTGAAAGCTAGCATGAAAGCTATTTTCCTTATTAACATTCATAAACACTAAGGACTAAGGTTTTATAAATGCTACACTTTTGTAAACTAAAATTTCCTATATTTCTCATTTCTCATTTTCTCTTTTCAAGAACTTCTGGGCATAAACAATATTCTTCACATCCTGAAACACAGACTAACCACACAAAAAGGTCAGCAGTGGGATTCAAATTTTTTAACAACCAGTTCTATGGGCATGGCTTAGGTGGTGATCATGGCTTGGTGGTCATGTGACTGGGTGGACTTGGCTTGGTGGTCATATTATTGGCTGGGTGTGTCCAACCCAATATCACTCACATCGAGGCAGCCTGATGAAATTCTAGTTTAGAAAGAATCACAATCATGTTATTTGTTTAGAAGTTAAAAAAAGAGGCAAAGATAGGAACAGGAGAGGTTAAATCACTATTAGAGTTGCCTGTAATTTGCATTGTATGTTTTGATATAACAAAATTATCAACCTGCGAAGATGACAATCAATGGATTCTAGTTTCCTCCCTAGTCTCTCATGAGGAATAGAGGAATAGAGTCAAAAGCTGCCCTTAAGTTAATATAAGCAACATAAGGACTGCCATGAATAAGTGTAGAATACTTTTCAGCTAGTCCTCAATTTATGACCATAATTGGGACTAGAACTTCTGTTGCTAAGCAATATGGCCATTAAGTGAGTTGTGCCCAACATTATAACCTTTTGTGCTGTGGTCATTAAGTGAATTACTTCATTTGTCAATCACATCACTGAAGTCATTATATAAATCCAGCTTCCTCCATTGACTTTGCTTGACACCCCCTAAGATCATAAGTGGCATTTAGGATGCCAGGATGCCACAATCATTGTAAATGCATGCTGGCTGCCAAGCACCCAAATTTTCATCACATGACTTCAGGGACACGGTAACATTTATAATGTAATGACTGATCATAGGTCATTTTTTCAGCACTGTTGTAACTTTAATCATTAAACAAATGGTTATAAATCAAGGACTAACTGTAAATGATAGGAAATTACATATTAATCCATTGTAGAATATCCTGATCTAAAACCCACTTGTACAGGAGCCAAGATTTTCCCTCAGCACATCCAATCTAAAAGTTTTCAGTATAAAAACCAAGCATAGAGTTTGCTAATTCCTAACATTAGCTAATTGTGCAATACACAGCTGAATTTTGCCTATTGTCTTTCTTGTATAATGGGAGAGTGTTAGAATTAAGCCATCCTTTGGTGAGCAAAAAAGGATGATTATTAAATTTCTAACCCTGAGGGAAAAAATGTAAATGGAAACCTTACTAGCAGAACATGTATGTTCATAAAGCTTGGGTTATCTAGGATTACCAGTACTTTTTATTCTCTAGGCTTAGTCATTACATTTTCTGGATTTCTTTTTAAAGTCAAAGTGTTCATTGTGATATAAATTGAATTACACTTACGTATACTTTTAACATTTTTTGGCTTTTCTTCTTTTTTTTTATACTCTGTTCTTATGTCTTCTTGCCTGACATAAAATTCTGGATACCATGTTCAATGTTTCAAGTTACAACAGAGTGAATAGTATAAACCTCCAAATCTGGTAGAGGTAGGTGTAGGGAACATTTCTGAAAAGTGTGATCAAGTACAATGTATATGTGATGCTTCATTAACATAGATGGGCTTTATGTGTAAGCATATTCCAAATGATTGAATGATTATAAAATAAAACATCTGTTCGACTGAAAGGCTAAGTTTTGTATTACTTGTTATTGCAACCTCAATGTTAGTAGATCTTCCAAGGAATTTCTGACACAATTAATTAACATGCTGATGTTTCCACAATCCAATTGTTAGCTCAACAGTTTCATATCAGAAATAGGCTGAGTTCAAAGAACACACTGTGCTTTGATTTGAGTAACAATGATTGTTTTGGTTAATCATAATTAGCTGAGCTAATTATGAATCATGATTACAAAACACAGTGACTGAATTCATACTTCATGTTATGTCAAAATTGATCAAATGGATGAAGCCAGCTTTGTTCTCTCTGTCTCTCTCTGTCTCTGTCTCTGTCTCTCTCCCTCCCTCCTAGTGCAAAGTAGAAAATAGCTTCATGGAACCTGTAACTATACTTAGATGTTTATTTTAGTCCAGTGTACATGTTTTGACCTGTACTGAATTCAAGAGAGTTTTCAGAAATTTAACTATGCCACAAACAAAGTTTCTAAAATTATTGAGTAGATATAACAATTTGCTTCAGCCCTTCCCAATCTACCACACTATCGAGGTTTAGGACTTCGAATTCCCAAATTGCCATCCTGTTTGGTTAAATGCTTTCAAAACAATGAGATTGCCTGTAATGCGAAATTGGAAAGGAGGTCAATGAGAGAAGGGAGGAAAAATACAAAACAAAAAAGGGGAATTAGGCCCACATGTACAGTATATGAAAGTGCCTTCTCCAGCTTCAGAAAGGCTGGAAATATTTTTCCAACAATATTTATTTTCAAGGACATGTGCTAGCAATAATATAGAATGGACAACAATGTACTTTTCAAAATTCACCAAAGAAACATGTAAGTCTAGAGACTATACTGGTTGTAAATTTGAAGGGGCTGGATTAAAGCTGATTGCTGGGATCAGGGAATAAATAATGTAAATCTAGGCTTTCGAGTTTGTGGAAGGACAAAAGAAAAAAAGAAGCAGACAATTTACAAGATCCTAATACTTGTAAGTGTGAATGACTGTTGTTGTGAAAATAGTCCAAGCCCACCCCACACTATACAGAAGACACAGTGTTTGACTTTAAGGCTATGCCTGCTGGACAGAAGGACAAAAAGGAAAATATGCCTTCCTTTTGCTGGACGCCTGATAGCCCCGCCTGAACTATATATTTGCCTTTGGTGCAAAAAATATCAGAATGAAGGAAAAAGTTTGCATACCCAAGGTTAAACTGTATGTATGTTGAATGAAACTAATTTAAAAGAATTAAACTAAACCTGGACAGAACTCAGAATGTGGAAGCAGTAGACTTTATCCATTTTATTAAAGATTAATTACATTGACAGTAACAACTATAGAAATGCAATCTTATATTGTAATAACAGTAAGTTAGTTACACAACATTGAAGGATTCAGCATATTTGGCAAAGCAAAAAATGAAAGAGTTATACTCATGCAAATATTCACAACACTATTTAAATAAACTCTTTCATCCTGCCCACCAAACCACACAAGCAACTTTTTCCTCTTTATGCAACTCAGAATTCCTGAAGGAGCCTCAAATCGTATTTGCCTTCAAATGATCCATTAACTTAGAGAGCAAGTGTTTGCACTTCTGTAATGTTGATTGTATTGGCACTCTTATTATGAGCTGCAACTTTCAGATACACAGTTTAGCTTTACAATTCAAGCCAGCACAATTCAAGCCAGACTAAATTTTCTGCAAAAGGGAATAATGAATTTAACCCCAATAAATACATTCTAAGATACTGAGCTTTCACCATTTAATGTTCACAAATAAGTTACCCATAACGAAGGTAATTGTTAAGACCAGTCATCCCTAAAGATTTTACCATCTTTTTGATTTCAACAGAAGAAAACTAATCTTTGAGGTTAGCAGTGCTAAAGTAGTAACCCAGAGATGAACGGGAGACCTATTTGTATCTGAGTCAGAAAAACTGAATGTGGGTAAAGCTAATTGGTAACAGTAAAAAAGTTGTTTAGCTCTGAATAAGACTGTGGCCATAAAGTAAATTCTCTCAATGCTTAATAGAAAAGAAAATCCTACTGTATTTATTGGACTTGCTGGCAAATAACATATATAGGATTCAGAATTAAGGCTGGTTCCATATTCAACAGCTATTACCTATTGTTACTCTACTGCTGGAATTAGGATTTCAGTCTAGACAATACATATACTAATTTTTATCCCCTATACATTTTCAGTTCTTTGATGAATAAAAATTTTGTGCAGGACATATAGAATTGAGAATGTTAAAAAATAAGATATATACATGTGTTTCAATAAAAATGTAAGCTCCAGCAATATGCAAGTTCCAACTATATTTTACATTCAAGGATTCATGATACATTTAGTATTCAGAAGATATTCTAAAAATCATGTACACTGTACACAGTTTTTACTGAAATTCAATCTTTCCCAAAGATACATAAACTGGATCTTCTTTTTTAAAAAATTACCATTTCCTCTGCAAGAGATCTACTGTTTTAAAGTGGTTTGTGGAACATTCACTATTAGAAGAAAGCATGGGTTAGAAATCTAACCCACATAGGCTAATATCAGCGAGGATTTAGCCATTTCATGATTGGAGAGTGGATGTCTTTTTCCTTCACAAAATCCTCTTCTACAGAATTACCATTGCCAGATCCCATGTCATTCTCTGAAAGTTTAAATGAGAAAAAAAATGGGGATTAGTTTTTTTAAAAAATCAAGACGTGGATTTTTAACTAACTTTTTGTCTGAATCAAGAACTTTAAATATCATGTCCATTCTCAACACATTATGATAATCTTTCATGCTGGCCACATGATGAATGGAAGCGTCTCTCACAAATATCGACTCCCTAGGCTAATAATTAGAGATGAGCACCATACCCTTGAATCAGTCTCAACCACACAGGGAAATCTTTTAATAAGTGGCCCCCAACCTTTTCAGCAACAGAGACTGGTTCCATGGAGAAAGGGTTTTTTTGTGGACCGCAGGGGCATGGTTTTGCATGTTGCCTGCATCCTGTGGATGGGCTTTGCTTTTTTGTGCAGCCTGGTTGCGGGCATGCCACGGCCCGGTGCTGGTCAACAGACCATGGTTTGGGATCCCTGCTTTAAACCCTTTACTGATGATCTTATGAACTGAATCACAAGAATTTGATTTTACACATGCTCGTGTAATTTCAGGGATAACGTTCAAGAGAAATGGGAATATTTTTATAGAACAAATTTGTACCAATATAAATCTCAAAAGTTTTCCATGAGAATCAAAATATTAATATTCAAACACAATGCTCAGTGCTTCAATAAAGCCTTTAATTAAGATAATCAAACATTTTTAATCGATTATGTGCCATCAAATCATTGTTGACTCTTAAGAATTTCTATCTATATGTTTATCTTGGTGAAAATATAGAACTGATTTACTTATGCCTCCTCCCACAGAGTATGATTTGATGCCTTTGTCTCCATCATCTTCTTAAATCACTGCTGCCAATATAGATTTAGCAGGGCAAATATGACAGCCTTAGCATCTTGGGTGACCCTGCTGGGTACATATGCTTTTGGCATATGCTCCAGCATTCTTTGCTCATCCTCCTAGAAATATCCTGCTGCCACAATGAGGCAGCACAACAGGAGTTGGGAGGTCAGGAGAATGATAAGGGAAGTAATAATCATTCTTTGATTACAACAGCAGAATTACTAAAGTACCATGCCTCAACAGTCTTCTCTGTGTGCATTTATTGAATTCTGAGCCAATAAATAATTACTGGGGTCAAATATTTCTTGAAGCAAAGCATCAGGGGTTTGTTATCTTCCAGGAGGTTCTCTGGAGTACATATAATACAACTGTGATACACAACTCAATTAATTCAATACAATTTGCGAATGAGAATACTCTTGGCATGGAAAAATCTTCTAATGCTTTATACCAGGGTGTCAAACTCAATTTCATTGAGGGCCACAGCAGGGTTGTGGTTGACCTTGGGGGGGATGGGCGTGGCTGACTGGGTGGGCATGGCCAGTTTGCTGCCATTTCCCAAAGTCCTGGCATGATTCCTCTTCCCATTGGGTAGACCAGGCTGAAGCCATGCTGGCCTGATCTTTCCTCTTCACACTGGGTAGACCAGGACAGCCCTGCGGGCCGGATCCGACTACATTGTGAACCGGATCTGGACTGCAGGCCTTGAGTTTGACACCCCTGTTTTATACCCTTAAGAAATGTATGCAATTAGGTTTACCTGCAGGTGGCAGTAATTTACGTTGGTGGGGGGGTTTTGATGCGGCCAATTGGAAAAAAGAAAACTTTATACACTTCCCAGTTACTCTGTCACATATGCCAGTTGGACAGCTGCAGGTTCTTAGACAATCCAACCCATAAGTACCATAAGGACACTCTGCAAGATAAAATATTAGAAAACAATAGACATATTATTGTGATTTAACCTTTTGTTATATTGCAGAAGCATTTTGTTTGACATCAGTATTTTGCAAGCCACTATGAGTCTGAAAGATTCATCAGCATGCAAATTTGATAATTAAACAATTAAGTAGAATGTTATGAATGCAACTCTAAATATACTTTGCCTCTGCTGTCTTTGAATTTTACTGAATAGACATGTATGCCATGGAATTAAATCACAAAGAGTTTCCTTTATTTCCTTTAACAAATATGCAGAAGATTCACAATCCCAAACGTACACAATTTTTACAAAGTAATCTATTATTTCACAATTATTTTTATTTTCAGTTTATTTTGTAAACCGCAGTAGATTCAACAGCATCCTTGGATAGTACTATAAAATGTCACCTCTTCATTTAAAATCTCTTTCCCTTAAAAGAGTGTTTTGTAAGAAATACTGGATTGCAATTCCTGGAATTCCTAGGGACCAGTCTTCCTAGGAATTATGAGAGTTGTGTTCCAACACAAGCGGAGAATGCCAAATGAGGAAGGCTTGTTTAAGGTTTTCATCATATCATAACATGAAAATTCATTATAGCAATGCTTATATATTTATCTTCCTACATTTCCAAGATTGCAAATAAATTATCTTTGTTTCTTGAAAAATTCTATGAATATGTTCTTTCCAACTGTATATTATTTTTCATATCCAGGAGGTTAATCCCATATTTCAGCCGTTTAAAATACAAATTTAGGAGGAGTAGATAAAGTTGGCTAGGTATAAAAATGGCTCACATTAATCAGTACAAAGACTAGTGTTATTACCCACATTATTTCTCTATATTTTCTTTTCATTTGAAGGTTTGTTTGCACAGAGTGATGTTAGAACAATCCCACTGGACTTGGGACTGTATTAATATTGAAATAGCAGGGAAAAATAAATGAAGTTTGAGACAATAAACATATTCCTTGTTTTCATATGGCATGTTTATGTGTATATCATCTTCAAAAAAGATACATCCTTTCCTACAATGAGCTGGAAGGGGTTGAGTGTCATTTAATCCAATTTTTCCATGATGCCAAAATCTGTGGCTATAGCAATCTTTCCTCATCTCTAAGCAGCCTCTTCCTTAAAACCTCTACAAGGGAGTATCTATCACCCTTGAGTTTAAAAGGGCAGATTTTTTCATGGTTTTAAACTGTTGATACCACCAAGGGAGTTTCTATAATGTTTAGCTAACACAAAAATAAGGGGTAGTGTCTCTTTAACAATGATACTTGCTATAGGGGCATCTGTGTCATGACACACATTAAAAGAGGGGAGAGGCTCATGGTTGCCATGTTGGCATTCTCTCCCCACCCTCATGGGTCCAGTGGATGCCTGTGCTATTCATTTTTAAATGTTTAAAACAAAAAATATTGCAATAATTTTGGGAGCAATTTTAAAAAATCAGCCAAATAAATATGATTCAGACTAAGGGAGTTGGGAAAGTCTTGACAACTTATTCCTTATCTCTTGTATTATTATGACCCTTGACAAATTAATTCAGCTAAATTTGACTATGCTGCATCTTGACTTTGGAATGTAAGACAGAACTTTCTGCCCTATCTCATGATCCAAAGTGTACATATTACAAAAATGGCTGTCATCCCCATTTAGTTGATTCTAGAAGTTTGATATGGCCTTCTAGAACTTCACCTTTTCTTCTAACAGATTAACATTATTGTAGGAGTGTGAGGTGTTTTTTCTTCTCAAGGCTAGAGAGCATGCCTGAAAAGTAATGATTAACCCTGGCCTTTCCTTCTTACCTTCAATGGTTATCTCGAATGCAGAAATAAATACAGCCACTGGAGGTAACAAGTAGTTTATTTTCTAGGTCTCTTTGCTCCCATCTAGTGATCACATGACTTTTTGCAGCTCAAACCTGACAATCCTATTGTTACTACTAGCCATGGTTTTGTTGATTTTGTTCTAGTAAAATTAAGTTATCCTAGACTTTGCTCAATACTGTATCTTTTTAAAAAACCAGTTATTTGGTTTTAATATTATTATTCATTGTTCATTTATTCATTATTATTTTTATTAGCCTTCAGAAATCATGGGCACTCCATCATTGGAAGTTAAGAAGAAACTAGGAAGGCATTTATCTGAGATAGTATAGGTTCTCCTGCTTGAGCAGGAGGCTGGACTAGATCATCTCCAAGGTCTCTTCCAGCTCTATTCTATTCTAACATTCTAACTATTTTAACAGCCTTGTCAGATATTTAGGCTGACTCTCAAAAGCATTCTTCTTGAATTGATATTTGAATCAACATCTAAAATTGACATTTGAATCAAGATGGAGCAAAAGTTTAATGGCTCCAACATGTATGGGCCTTTTCCAACATGCAAATTCAATCTAGTTGTAGAGAAGTGTTAATTGCTTTAATACACAGCAGTACATGACATATTAACCAGCTTTTAGGTTATAATATAAGCAGCAAAGCAAGATATACTATCACCATCATCAACAGTGGTATTTTGAAGTTGGAAACTTGTAAAAAAATATACAAAACCTGTTATACTTTAAAGCATATTTATATGTGTATCTGTTTACAATGCAAGCTTACATCTTATATGACCAAAATGATTATTTGAATAACAGAAATCTTTTTTTTCTTTGTTACTAATACAAGAAGGACATATGGAGTCCCATATTTGCAAGACTTAATAACCTATTTACAGGTTATGTAAATAAATAAATTAATTAAGACTGAACTGGATTTATCAGTTTAGACAGTAGATAGAAAATTATATTCTGTCAGAGGAAAGAGGGGAGAGAAAGAATGTTCAGAATGTTTATTTTGGATAACAGAAGCATCTCATTCTCTTACTTCCTATTGGCAGTGACCTGATAGTTACATAAATTCTTCTTAACAGTCAAGAAAATCTCTGTAAAGACATTCAAATGACTACAGTATATTTTAGAAGACTTTAGAACCTTGAATCTGAAGGATCCTCATTATCTCCCAGCATATTTTAAAGGAGAAGGGGAGTTTATCAACACTATTAATCTTCTAGTGGGAGTTTAAAATCTTGGTAGCCTTGTTTATTTATTGAAGAACAAATGTGGGTTCAGAGGTTGCTGTTCAGAGTTAGAAACCTCTGAGATTCAGTACCCAGTGGGCACCTGCCATGCTCTATCTGTATTTAGTTTGCTTTTATAAGAAGGGGTCCCCTGTGTGTGTGTTTGTGTGTATGTGTGTGCATGTGTACATGTGTGCATGTTTTAGAGTCTACTCTTAAAGCTACATTCTTAATTTACCTTCTATGTAAGTATCAAAATATTCCATCCATCCATCTTCCTTCCTTTCTTTCTTTCTTTCTTTCTTTCTTTCTTTCTTTCTTTCTTTCTTTCTTTCTTTCTTTCTTTCTTTCTTTCTTCTTTCTTTCTTTCTTTCCCAAGTTAAAATAGACCAGCAATCTAAGGTGTTTCTTGTTTCTTTTACCACAGATGCTTTGAACACTTTAAAAGAAAAGTGTTCAAAGTCACCAAAATAGATTGATGATCAAACTAATTACTGAAGAAAATAATTCTTCAATAACTGTGTTTGGACTTCAGTGTTGAAAGTCGGCAGATACTTACCTGGGAGTAAACTGCATTGAACGCAGTAGGACACACTCAAATGAACATCAGAAAAAGTAAGAACAGTGTGCAGTGTAGAGTTTTATTGCTATTTGTAACTAAATGATGTCACTGAAGTTATATCTGGAATAATTTGAAACTATTTATTTTGTCAGAATATTTAGCTTATCTTCTCCTTTCTTAAAAGCCACAAAAATCACTTCACTCACAGTACACCACTTCAACATGTAAATATGTAATCTATTCACTCAAGTAGCCTGTTTGCAGAAATGTGCTTTCTATAAAACTACCAAGAAGTTTACTCCAAAGTAATAATTGCAAATTTGAAGGAAAATTGAACATAATCACCTAGAAGATATTCTCCAACAACCGTTTGCAAGATTATAGCCTCAAGTAATCCAAAAGAGGCTATATTCACGTATTAACAGATTCCTACAGCTATATAGACACTTAATTTATACTAACAAAAAAAGAAATGACCTGACTCCTTCTGACTTCTGTACAGGTTTCTTTGCTAGTTTGTTAGCCTTGCTCCAAATTAACTGGACCATTTCGATCTCACTGAAACTCAGCAGAAACTTCTTAATCAGATGGTCTTCAGCTATGTTGAGGTCCCATATATCTGGACCTACACTTGTCTTTTAAAGGGTTCGAAGCTATTTGTGGTATGTCACCAAAGACACCTTAGATTGCAGCCTATTTTAACTTGGAAAAGAAAGAAAGAAAGAAAGAAAGAAAGAAAGAAAGAAAGAAAGAAA